CTTTTTACGGAATGGAACGGACATGCGTGATTGAGTTGAGAGAGAAAATGTCAAAAAACGTAAACAATACTTTGTAATATTAGACAGTTTTAACTTACGTTGGAGTGCGCACGTGCTCTCTGGTTTGTTATTTTAACTATATACGTGTTTTTAGCGAAGTTGTATTGTTTGGACAATCTTTTCATTTCTACATCTATTTTATATATATCTAGACATCGTTCCATATCTGGATTTTGGCTTGCTGGAGGCACTACTCGTTGAAAAGGCTAGATTAAAAAAGAAGAAAAACTTTAACGTGGCTTGTGAAAATAACATTTTGAAACACATAACGATGGATGAAAAAACAGTCTTATTAGTTATGTTAAAAATACTGCGAACGGCGAACAATTTACCAACTTGGCATGCTGTACCGGTGTTCAACAGAGTGCGAAATATATTAGGTTACATCGTTTTATTGCAAAAAAAGAAACGGAAATTCTGGGTACGACCAATGTTTACGCACGAAATGAGGCATTTACAAGGTGCAAGTGACAATTTAGTCGTTGAGATGCAAATAACTGATCGTGAAAAGTTCTTCAATTACTTCAGAATGACTCCGGAAGTATTTGAAGAACTGCTAACGTTAGTTGGACCACGGATTCAGAAAGAAGAAGTTTGTCGAATCCCAATTTCAGCTCGTACAAGATTGCAGCTGACTTTGCGCTGGTTAGCATCTGGTGACAGTTTAGCATCTCATTCGTATGCATTTTTGCTGTATTGCATGCAATACAGCATCCAAAATCGTAAGGGAGACTTGCACTGCATTGTGGGAGGTCTTGAAAGATAAAGTTTTTTTGCAACCCACCGCTGACAATTGGCAACAGGTTGCTAACGAATTTCAGAAAATCTGTCAATTTCCAAACTGCATTGGATCTATAGATGGGAAGCACATTATCATTCAGGTACGTATCTGATACAACCATTTTTCATACATTTTTTAATAAATCTGACATTATTGTATTCTTGTTAATTGTAGGCACCACCGAATAGTGGCTCGTCCTGCTAGAATTACAAAGGTAACACCAGCATCAATCTACTTGCTGTGACTGATGCAAATTGTTGCTTCAGCATCGTGGACATTGGAGCGGAAGGAAGGCGTAGCGATGCGGGTGTATTTGCTAGCAGTAACCTTGCTCGCCTATTGGATACGAAATCACTTCAACTGCCTCTGGACAGGCATTTGGATAATAGCGGATTCAAATTTCCATACGTCTTAGTAGGAGACGAAGCATTTCCGCTAACATCTTATATGATGCGGCCATACTCTCGAAATAGGAACTTAACTGTTACGAAGAAAATCTTTAATTATAGATTAAGTCGGGCGCGAAGAACTGTAGAATGTTCATTTGGGATACTAGCGGCAAGATGGCGAATTTTTCGTCGGCCAATTATCGCTCATATTTCAACGGCTAAATTAGCCGTTCAAGCTGCAACGGCTGTACATAATTTTCTAATGAAACACGAACTTCAATTGGAGCCAACGGAAAGAACTTATTCTGTTTTAAGTGGCAATGATCGAAATGTAACGTCGACCGGAATTGAAAATGTACGTAATTGCAGTGCGCGAAGGAACGTTGAGGCTATACGAATTAGAGACTCTTTTGCTACGTATTTTGAAACTTCGAACCCACTTGATTGGCAATGGAGAAAAGCTCTAAACAATGAGTATTAAATTTCTATCATGTATTATGTATTATGTAAAAAGTGATCCCTCATGGAAAAACGCCCGTTGATTGTCGCGAAAATGCGTCGGATTAGTTGCTGCGAAATTTTGCGATTAACTCATTATTATAAGACAGATTTTTTCTAAGAATTATAAATAAATACAAGATCGTACATCTCAATGTTTTGAACTTTACATACACATATATGTAATGGTAACAACAAAACATTCATTTTTTTAGACCCCAATATGAACTACTCATCAGGTTTTATTGAAATAGAAATAAATGTTTTATTTATTTATTATGTAATGTATAATGTATTGGTAGAAAGATAAAAAGGTAATGATAATAGTACAAAATATAATAGAATAATAATACGAAAAATTTATCGCCTTTGATGTTCCGCCTCCGCTAATTTTTCGTCTTCTGCCCTGTGAACGAGACGCAGCAGCTCTACTTGCATTTGCCTTCTTCGAAGATAACTCAATCTACGCAGGATATCTCCCAACTGCTCCAGGAAATTGTCCACTGCATCCTTCTTCGGCGCATTTTCGCGAAGTAACTGCTGCAATATGTTGTTATGCAGTGCCTGCACATCGGGATCGTGCTGCTGTCTTCCTGTAACACAAAAAATTCCATTTAATGCATTCAAAGTAATGAATTTTTCTACATTTTCATACATTGTTAAACAAAGCTGATTGTCCATGAAAAAAGTAACACAATTTTAATATGAAGATGTATCAATTAATTATGAAAATCTATGAGACGTGTGTCGATTATCA